ATACGACACGTGGTAATCGTAATAGTAGTCATATTTCACCGATGATTGCGACTCCGTCACGCGATATCGTCTGTCAGCGGGTTGATGACCGTGAAACTAGGGCGACCTCGGTCGTCATTGCATCACCACCTCAGCCCTTGACTGAACCCTTGAGTACTCCTCCGCCGAAGCCTGCCTGTCAACAAGGAAAGACGTTTGCGGATGTTGCTCGAAAATCTTGGCAACCCTCATGTCGAAAACAAAAGAATGTGGATGCAAAATAAGTTCCTGTGGTGACCCAAACCAAGAAAGAAAATGACGGGTTTACTCTTGTTGAGAATAGACGTCGGCCGAGACCCGTATGTAACCAGCGTGGGACCGCCAAAATAAACGCAAGTACAACTCTGCGTATTGTGGAGCCCACCATACAGCTCTACATCTCCCGTTTGGACAAAAGTACATCGGGAGAAGACGTCCTGCGTTTCGTGGAAGAACGAAGCCGATGCCGCATAGGGGATCCGATCTCTTTACATTTGCAGCGTCTGGAGTCTAAGAGGTCCACGAACTTCAAATCCTACGTACTCCAGGTTCCTGCAAAATACAAAGAGACATTCCTTGCTCCCGATTTCTGGCCCTCTGGGCAGTGTTTCGCCGATACAGGGACGCGCCAAAGAAGAAAGTTCCCTAAATAGTGTTATGTTTATATTTTATATATATTTTTAGGTTAGGTTATATATTGCTATGGGCCAATGTTCTTAATTTTTTAGTCCTTGATGCCTGAAATAAAGAAATAAAATAAAATAAAAAATGCGACAGAGGGAAACAGGCAGGAGATGGGCAGCAGCATTTTCATGATAACAGCAACTGTACAACAAAAACTGCGGTTGCCAACCCGCTCGCCAAGCGTGGCAATTATGGCAATATACCCCCCATGAACAATTACACAAATAGACGGCCCCCGGTCCCCGGCGGCCCAGCAATTCCTGGCTACGGTGACGACCATGGTAACGGCGGGGCAGAGGACGCTAAGAATCTCCGGTGGAGGTTCGATTGCCACCTATGACGACTCGACCTGGCAACATATAACGCACGCACCCTGGGGACTGACGAGAAGATTCTGGAGCTGGAAGAAGAGATAGACAAGTTGCGCTGGAATATTATAGGAATATCCGAGATCCGAAGAGGAAAAGGACACGGTAATTCTCGAATCTACCTCAAACTCAGAATCACCAAACGGTATTCATTGAAGGTCATACAGGTTACGCGCCAAAGTCGGAACATCCCGATGAGGCGGTGGAGGAAATGTATGAGGATATTTCTAGAGCCATGCATTCCTCCAAAACTCACTATACGGTGTTAATGGGAGACTTCAACGCAAAACTAGGCACAAGAAAGAACGGTGAGCTGAAGGTAGGGAAATTTGGGATAGGGCAACGGAACCCAAGGGGCCAGCAGCTGGCCGACTTCATGGAGAAAGAGGGACTTTTATGGTGAACTTTTTCTTCCAGAAGCGGCCTCATAGAAAGTGGACCTGGTCGAGCCCCGACGGTTCGACAAAAAATGAGATTGACTTCATTATGACGACCAGACGCCAACTGTTCAGGGATGTCTCAGTGATCGCAAGAGTGAAAACTGGCAGCGATCACCGAATGGTTAGAGGCACACTGAACCTAAACGTTAAGTTGGAGAGGTCTCGTCTAATGAAGTCAACGCTTCGTCCCCCTCATGCTCTAATCCAGAATCCCGAACCCTTTCAGCTCGAGTTACATAACCGCTTTCAGTGCCTAGAAGATTGCAAACACAAAACACAAAAACTCTCCGATCAAGCTCTTAATCTCATGGCTGTTAGACGGGAGATTCTTGACGATGAACAGACATCTCCAAATGCATGCGGCGAGACTAACGCAACTTTAATACTGCTCGTATTAAATAAGCGGTCGAGCGAAACCAGGGCTCCAAAGTCTTTGCCAGAGATCTGTCTGCCAGAAAGAGCCAACTGTCAAAGCTGAAGACTGAGTGTGGCAGCATCGTTTCCGGGATATCTGAGATTTTGAGTGAGATTGAGAGGTTCTATCCGACACTATTCCGATGATTACCGGACGTCAGTCTGAGCGAGATTAGAATGACTCTCCAGCACCTTAAAAATGGCAGGGCCCCAGGCGAGGATGGAATTACAGCGGAGCTTCTGAAAGCGGGTGGAACACCGGTACTTAAAGTCCTTCAGAAGCTCTTCAATTCCGTCCTTCATGGTGGCACTACTCCGGAGGCGTGGAGCAGAAGTGCAGTGGGCTTGTTCTTTAAGAAAGGCGACAACGCTCTCTTGAAGAACTACACCGATTTCTACCATATGAGGACGCTCAAGGTCGCTCAGCGAGCTATGGAGAGGGCTAAGCTCGGACTTTCTCTGCGCGATAGACTCAGAAATGAGCATATCCGCAGTAAAACCAGAGTGACCGACATAGCACAACGGATTAGTAAGCTGAAGTGGCAATGGGCCGGCCATATAGCTCGAAGAACCGATAACCGATGGGGAAGAAAGGTTCTCGAGTGGCAGCCTCGTACCGGTAGGCGTAGTGTAGGGCGACCCCCCACTAGATGGAGTGACGACCTGGTAAGACATGCAGGAAGTCGATGGATGCAGGTGGCTCGGGACCCTGCTTTGTGGCATTACTTGGGGGAGGCCTATGTTCAACAGTGGACTTGTAAAGGGCTGTAACGATGATGATGATGATGACTTCATCACCACTTACCATTAACGTTACCGTTACATTCTATCAGAAGTCACAGTCAGATGCACATAGGCCTCCCCCGTACATTACCTCGTATTTGCCGTAATTGTCACGCTTAGCATGCGGGTTAGCATCCACAAATCACTCGACTTTCTAATGAATATGAAAAAAGTATTCACTCACTTTTTATTTAGTTCCATTTGACTTTCCAGATGTTTATTGAGTTCTAACAGTTCCTCTTCCTTCGTTGATACCATTCTGTGAACAATTGCGGCCTGTGTAAAAAACGCAGTACCTAGATATTTGCCTATATTGTAATGATATGGCAGACGAGCTTGCATTTAAGACGCAAAATGCACATGTTTTGTGACCCCTGAACACAAAATTGGAATGCCTTTTTACCAATGAAAAGGGTCTGGTTTTTGTCACTCAATATGAAACACCACAGCTTTACGCTGCTATGTCACGTTGGTATGTGCAAGCGCGGTCCTTCTCCGGTCAAGCCGACACATTCGTGCTGTACCGTAGTTTCTAAATTTAAACAAAGGAAACTGAAGTTCGCCGCTGAACTAAAAATGTCACGCTAACCCCACAATAGGATTTTCCGAACGAAACTTTTTACGAAAAATTTTTTGGAACCAGAACAATTGTTAATTGGGCCCGAAGCACCGTAGCCAAACGCTTAGCCACCGCACCACAAAGCCGATAGATAGATAGATATACAGCGATATACACTAATTTTGTCATTATTTGGAAGATTTAACTTTGTACTTAATATGATTTTTTGAATTGGCTAAGTACAATAGCAAAACACGTCGAAAAAAACAATTTAGAGACTATATCGCGTTTAATTCAATCTGTTTTTAATCGATGTCGATATTTCGAATGTGTGTGTGGGGGGGGGGGATATTATCTCTAGTTTATTGAATACAGAGTTATATAAACATACTTGTGACTGAGTTCAGTCCTCGATGAAAGCATACTTTGCAACCTGGTTATCATGCCATGGGTTTCGTTTAATGATTTTTGTAGGTGTTCCACTTGAAGTCTGAAAATAAAACACCTGGTGTTATATAAACAGAATTATCCCCTCATCTTTCTAAATGGCGTCATTTCTTAAATGTTGCAGCCGTTGCGGCTTGTATTTACTGCCCGGGAGAAATAATTTACTTAATTTCGTGTTTTCTTTACATATATGGGTATAATGTTATGGTTTGTAAATACATAATAAATATTTTTCTCATCTAAATTTATATTTTATTATAACATTAGTGCTAAAAGCGAAGTACATTAGTAATTAAAGTATTAAAAAAAAATGGCGGGAATTAAATCGCCGCAATGGATGACAGTTACTGACGATAGATATTTGACACTTGACACATAGCCGGGATGGATGTTTTGACTGTTGATCGGTTAATATTTTCGACAACATACCTATATTTTAAATTAAATAATTACCTTATGAGGGTGGTGTAAACAATCTGTGAGTGTCTATAAACTGATAGTAGGTCTAGAAATTGTAGCCTCGGATAGATAGCGTACGTGGTGATTTTGTAATTTCTTTTCTTCATCATCAATCAGTAAAAGGCTGGGTAAACACTTCTGCTATTATAAGCAGGATTTGCTTTAATTACCAAACTTAACATACCGATTGGCGTTCGCAGTACCCAACGTCTCGCATCTTTGACGCTGCTGACGTAAACAGTACCATTTACAACCATCTGTCAATAACCATATTTATAATCTTTCTGCTATTTCTGTTAGTCGCTTCTTACGATGCACCGTCACGCACGGTTTTGTAATTGTCAGGTCTAAAACACTCAGATCATCAACGATGAAAAGGATAAAAAGATGTGAGACAAATGCTGGTTTAGCCTGTCTGATCTCCTCTGTCGTTTCTTACGATACTGTAAGAGGCCACAGAGAGAAACTGATACACTATATGAGCAGCAGCATCTTCCTAATTACAACACAAAATAGTGAAAAGCGGTTGCCACACTCAAGTCACAGATTTTTCCGAAACGAAGTGGTAAAAGTAAGCAAATGGCTTTTTATAAATCTTCTCTATGTAGCATAAAATAAAGTCGCTTCCAGCCGTCTGTACGCTTAGATCTTTTAAACTACGCAACGTATTTTGATGCGGTTTTCATCAATAGACAGAATCAATAGAAATATTTATATGTATAACACATGCATATGTTGTCGAGATTCAAAAATTACCCGTGCGAAGCCGGGGTGGGCTAGTATTTTATAATCTGTGTAACATAAAAATATTTTATTTTTTTCTTATGCTTACTTAAGTTCTTCCCGCTGCGTTTTTAGTAAACTTTCCTCCCAATCCCTTCGTTTTGTCTCTCTGGTGTGAATGTCTTGTATTCTCTGAATGTCAATCGCTAGGCATTGTTTCTCGCACACCAGTTGGATATTGCGACGTTCTGATGCAACCTATATATACACATTTATATAAATAAAATAAACTGGGAGGTATCCGTTATTTACTACGTTTTATTGACAAGGATGGGGCGGCCCCTCTAGGTGGAGTGACCTGGTAAGCAGGAAGTCAATTAAGGACGCGTTTACAAAATGGATAGGTATAGAATCGCACTACTACATTGACAAAAGTCACACACACACTAGTGTACGCACGGTTGGCTGTGGGAATCGTAGTCAAATGAAATTATTTTGATAATTTGAAAGATTGAATTTGTTTTTCATTTCTTATACCTACCTCAGAAATATACTTCGATACGAAATATGAATACCTGCTCCAAAGACTGCTTGGCACTGGAAGCCCTCTACTGGTAGTGAGATGTTAGCTCTGGACTTTGAACTGGTTTTGTCAGTTATAATAAGACCTTACCTACCTGCGGACTCGATGGAGTGACCTGAAGGTGTAATTTGGTGATTACAACAATAGGAACTCCTAGACTAGTGGAACTAGGTGTGCCGAGTTTGGGTTCGTTTTGTTGGTTATGATGAGACCTTACACCTGGCTGGATTCAAGTGGAATTGATAGTGAAGGTGGAGTTTGGGTTGTTTTGTTAGTTATGATGAGACCTTACCACCAGACTTGATGGAGTGACCTGAAGGGGTAATTCAGTAACTACTGCTGGAATTTCTGAACGAGTAGAACTAGGTGTGCCGAATTTGGGCTCCGTTTTTGGAGTCCATATCCGGATTGATGGGGCTGAAGGGGTAATTCAGTAACTACTGCTGGAATTTCTGAACGAGTAGAACTAGATGTGCCGAATTTGGGCTCCGTTTTGTTAGTTATGACGAGTCCATACCTCCGGACTTGATGGAGTGACCTGAAGGTGTAAATCGGTGATTGCAACTGGAACTCCTAGACTGGTGGAACTAGGTGTGCCGAGTTTGGGTTCGTTTTGTAGGTTATGATGAGACCTTACCATCGGACATGATGGAGTGACCTGAAGGTATAGTTCGGTGATTACAAGTGGAACTTCTAGACTTGTAGGACTAGGTGTGCCGAGTTTGGGTTCGTTTTGTTAGTTATGATGAGACCTTACCACCAGACTTGATGGAGTGACCTGAAGGGGTAATTCAGTAACTACTGCTGGAATTTCTGAACCAGTAGAACTAGGTGTGCCGAATTTCACTCCATCAAGTCCGGTGGTAAGGTCTTATCGTAACTAACAAAACGAAACCAAACTCGTCACACCTAGTTCTACTAGTCTAGGAATTCCATTTGTAACCACCTGATTACACCTTCAGGTCACTCAATCAAGTCCGGTGGTAAGGTCTCATCGTAACTAACAAAACGAACCCAAACTCGGCATACCTAGTTCTACAAGTCTAGGAGTTCCACTTGTAATCACTGAACTACACCTTCAGGTCACTCCATCAAGTCCGGAGGTATGGACTCGTCATAACTAACAAAACGAAGCCCAAATTCGGCACACCTAGTTCTACTCGTTCAGAAATTCCAGCAGTAGTTACTGAATTACCCCTTCAGGTCACTCTATCAAGTCCGGTGGTAAGGTCTCATCGTAACTAACAAAACGAACCCAAACTCGTCACACCTAGTTCTACTAGTCTAGGAATTCCATTTGTAACCACCTGATCACACCTTCAGGTCACTCAATCAAGTCCGGTGGTAAGGTCTCATCGTAACTAACAAAACGAACCCAAACTCGGCATACCTAGTTCTACAAGTCTAGGAGTTCCACTTGTAATCACTGAACTACACCTTCAGGTCACTCCATCAAGTCCGGAGGTATGGACTCGTCATAACTAACAAAACGAAGCCCAAATTCGGCACACCTAGTTCTACTCGTTCAGAAATTCCAGCAGTAGTTACTGAATTACCCCTTCAGGTCACTCTATCAAGTCCGGTGGTAAGGTCTCATCGTAACTAACAAAACGAACCCAAACTCGTCACACCTAGTTCTACTAGTCTAGGAATTCCATTTGTAACCACCTGATTACACCTTCAGGTCACTCAATCAAGTCCGGTGGTAAGGTCTCATCGTAACTAACAAAACGAACCCAAACTCGGCACACCTAGTTCTACAAGTCTAGGAGTTCCACTTGTAATCACTGAACTACACCTTCAGGTCACTCCATCAAGTCCGGAGGTATGGACTCGTCATAACTAACAAAACGAAGCCCAAATTCGGCACACCTAGTTCTACTCGTTCAGAAATTCCAGCAGTAGTTACTGAATTACCCCTTCAGGTCACTCTATCAAGTCCGGTGGTAAGGTCTCATCGTAACTAACAAAACGAACCCAAACTCGGCACACCTAGTTCTACCAGTCTAGGAGTTCCAGTTGCAATCACCGATTTAGACCTTCAGGTCACTCCATCAAGTCCAGAGGTATAGACTCGTCATAACTAACAAAACGGAGCCCAAATTCGTCACCCCTAGTTTTACTCTGCAAGAAGTTCAAATAGCGGTCACGAAAGTACACCTTCAGGTCATGCCATCAAGTCCAGAGGTAAGGTCTCATCATAACCAACAAAACGAAACCAAACTCGTCACACCTAGTTCTACTAGTCTAGGAATTCCATTTGTAACCACCTGATTACACCTTCAGGTCACTCAATCAAGTCCGGTGGTAAGGTCTCATCGTAACTAACAAAACGAACCCAAACTCGGCATACCTAGTTCTACAAGTCTAGGAGTTCCACTTGTAATCACTGAACTACACCTTCAGGTCACTCCATCAAGTCCGGAGGTATGGACTCGTCATAACTAACAAAACGAAGCCCAAATTCGGCACACCTAGTTCTACTCGTTCAGAAATTCCAGCAGTAGTTACTGAATTACCCCTTCAGGTCACTCTATCAAGTCCGGTGGTAAGGTCTCATCGTAACTAACAAAACGAACCCAAACTCGTCACACCTAGTTCTACTAGTCTAGGAATTCCATTTGTAACCACCTGATTACACCTTCAGGTCACTCAATCAAGTCCGGTGGTAAGGTCTCATCGTAACTAACAAAACGAACCCAAACTCGGCACACCTAGTTCTACAAGTCTAGGAGTTCCACTTGTAATCACTGAACTACACCTTCAGGTCACTCCATCAAGTCCGGAGGTATGGACTCGTCATAACTAACAAAACGAAGCCCAAATTCGGCACACCTAGTTCTACTCGTTCAGAAATTCCAGCAGTAGTTACTGAATTACCCCTTCAGGTCACTCTATCAAGTCCGGTGGTAAGGTCTCATCGTAACTAACAAAACGAACCCAAACTCGGCACACCTAGTTCTACCAGTCTAGGAGTTCCAGTTGCAATCACCGATTTAGACCTTCAGGTCACTCCATCAAGTCCAGAGGTATAGACTCGTCATAACTAACAAAACGGAGCCCAAATTCGTCACCCCTAGTTTTACTCTGCAAGAAGTTCAAATAGCGGTCACGAAAGTACACCTTCAGGTCATGCCATCAAGTCCAGAGGTAAGGTCTCATCATAACCAACAAAACGAGCCCAAACTCGGCACACCTAGTTCCGCTCGTCCACGAGTTGCAGTAGTAGGTAAGTTTATATATCCTACTTATTTTTAGCTAAATAAAAACTGTGAGTATAAAAATAATAATTTTATCACTTGTCAAGTACTTATGTTTCCAATTTGTTTTTTTCTAATATTTTGTGTATGTACAGCGATCTTTTCAGAATGAGCCGCTGCAAACAGGCGATACAGTGTCCACTCACGACGGCGGCCGAGCGCGGACTGTGGTTTCATCGAAATCTTTGTACAATAAATCAAAGCAGGCACCAACAATAAAATAGCCCTTATTGCAATACATTATGATTCATCCATATTACCAAAATATGTGAAAAAATGTGCATCAGTTTTTATTTTTTTTACGACTATTTGTGACATTTTGTTAAAAAATAAACCCAGGGTTTTTTAATTGAATATGTCTGTCATCTTATAGTATTTTTTAAATTTTTAAATATGTTGATAATAGACCAAAACATCTACCGAAACACAAGCCGGTATCGTTAATTTTGTAGAAAATGGCAACGAAAGTTCGTTTTTACAATATAAAAAACTACTATTTTCAACAAAAGAGTTACAGACATTTGCAGATGAAGAACCAATCTATACATGGTAGTTTTTACTTATATTTGATTTGGTTTAGTTTTGTCACAAAATCTACCGAAAAACACCCTAATTTTGGTTGATTTGCAAACGCGTCCTTAATGCAAGTGGACCAAAAATTAATATTAAAAAACTGAAGGTAGCCGGACTAACTATGACATTGGGACGTCAAACATCTCAGTCCCCCCCGTGACCATGGGCGCTGTAAAGCACCCGAAACGTCGGGATAATAATAAAAATAAATTAAAGTAATTAAACGCGAAAAAAATCCGTAAATAATAGTTTTATTCAATTTATTCAATAATGCAAGTGGCTTAAGATCGTCCTTTACGGCATTCTTTGGGGGAGGCCCACATTCAGCATTGGACTCGTGAAGGGCCATGATGATGATGGTGATGATTGATAAGAATGAGTGAAATCGACGCGGAACTTAGGTCGTCCCCAACGGCACCAATGAAATTGTTACTTGCAATTTTAAGTGCCATGTCATGTGCCACTTCATGCTCGGCGATGAAGGAAGACATCGTGAAGAACTGTGCATTTTTGTATAAAACTAAAGTCTGCTGCCCTGTGAGTCAGTTTCCCTTTGTCGCCTCTTACGTCATGTGCGAGATGTTAAGGGGTACAAGTGGATTCACTTACGTCACCACTACACGGCGACGGGATGTGCCGACTAAGTATATTTTATTTTGAGCTCTGAACAATTTTGGAAATATTAGTTTGCGCAGATTCATTTGTATTACCATTTAAGACACGGATCGGATGTCTAAAACATTAGAAACATAACATGTCCAAATGTGGACTTCATAAAGGCTGACAATAAGATGTGTTATTAAATGGTTAAATACGCAGAAACATAATGAAACTGAATAAGAAACTATATAGAGGAGTATACAAAGTAATCGAAATCAATAAGTTCTTTTTAGAGTTCCGTACCCAAAGGGTTACCAAGGGGATTGCCACCCTATTACTAAGCCTCCGCTGTCGGTGCGTGCGTCCGTCTGTCAGTGGGCTGTCTCTCATGATCCGTAACAGGTAGACAATTGAAATTTTCACAGAATGTGTAATTCCTGTTGCCGTTATAACAATAAAAATAAATTAAAAATTAAAGGATGCTACCCTACTAGAAATGTGTTTTTACGATGGTACGCAACCCTTCAAGCGCGAGTCCGACTCCCACTTGGCCAATTTTTTTATAAGAAGTCAGCCAGTATATTGCCATGTTCTAACATAGACTTTACCGGTATTTTATTATAAGAATATCTACTTATGTATAAAATCTACGACTCACCAGTTCCTGGAACATAGCCTCAATTCTCTGTTCGGCAAGCGCTAGTTTAGGATCGACCGAGTTGAGATTCTCTTTATGTTGTTTAATGTAGTTTTTGTTCGTTTCTTGTAGAATTTTGTTCTCCCTAAAATGTGTAAGAGGTACTTATTCACTATTAACAGGTAAAAGCTTTTTTAAACCTGAACTTTCCAAATTCTGTGTGTTTGGCGCAGATTGTGAGGCGCCTACGTGGGGTAGTCGGATTAGTGTGCTGTTCCGTGAGAGTGAGTTTTAGTGTAAGTGTCAGTGAGGTCATGGTTGAGTAAAAATACGATACGATGTTCTAATTTCAAATTTCCCTGCACATTCTTTTTCATGCGTCGGACACATTATTGCGCGATGATTTTTTACCATTTGAAATGTCGCCTAAAACCGGACAAATCTTATGAAAGACTGTCGTGAAGCGACAGTTAAAAACTAAAGAACCTAACCAAACAACAAAAAAACGAATAATTTATTTAAAATTTTAAAAAGATAAAAATATATGAAAATGATAATGGGGTTTCAAACTAGAAGCATCACGGAGTATGCACAGGCTATGCCTGTGGTAGGTGCGCAGCGCCTGATCTAGGCACATGCAGCGTCTGGAGTAGGCACACTCAGCGCCCGGAGTAGGCACACGCAGCGTCTGGAGTAGGTACACGCAGCGTCTGGAGCAGGTACACGCAGCACTTGAAGTAGGCAAACACAGCGCCCGGAGTAGGCACACACAGCGCTCGGAGTAGGCACACACAGCGCCCGGAGTAGGCACACGCAGCTTCTGGAGTAGGTACACGCAGCGTCTGGAGCAGGCGGAGGCGTAGGCGTGGCTAGGCGACGACTTCAGGTGAAGGCAGAGGCTTGCAATATCCCGGGGCAGTGCGGATAAGGCCTTTAGGAGATGCTTCTAGTATGAAAGCTGAAGCGAGACTCACTTTATTGGCCGATTGTTCGGCTTTTATACTTTTTTAGAGAACTCTGCGCTCGACGACGGATTTGTGAAAAGAACGGGAAATTATTTAAATTAAAAGCAAATTTTTGTAAATGGCCAAGAAGAAAAGAGTATTTTTGTGGAAGTTTTGAAGTAAAAACATCAGACCGGTAACGAATTCGAATAAAAATTGCCATGACAACCAGATAAACAACGATGTCAAAACATGTCAAATTTTGGTTTTAGGCTCGTAATAGAGAAACGGCAAGATTTAAGTGAAAAATGAGATATTATTGATATAGGAAAATAGGTAGCGCAACAGTGCGCACGAAGCCCGAAATTGCAGAGTTACGGAGAACTAAATAAAAGACCGAAAAAGGTAGACTCCATTGACACCGATTTAAAAAGTGCTGATAACGTGAAAATTCGAAGTGAAAATGATTTGTTATTGTGTTCTTATGGTTTAAAAACGTTACAGGATCCTATGGAAATAAAGGTAATGCAAAATATCCAGTTTTGAGGCGAATTCAGAAAATCAAAAACAGAATAGAAAAATAAATTTAAAATAGTGTAAAATGATATGTAAGTAGCATAACACTACAAGACTTCAAATGACATTTTTATCGATTTTCTTCAGGAAGCTTTTTTAAAGCAACTGAAAGCAAAAGGTACCGTTTTCAGCAGAGTCAACTAATTTTGAGAAATAAATAAAGAAGTGATCGCCACTTGTCGGCTTGTTAGGAAAGGTAACATGCTAGCAGTAATAAAAAATACTAAAGAAAATAGGCGAATTACGTTTGAAAAGTTTCGGCGCATATTGTAGATTGGTTCGGAAAGTTTTAAGGTTTTTCACGAAAATCTTCCCGTAAGGAGGACAGTTTTGCGTTTGATGCCGTACAACTCCACTGATGCTCAGAAGCAAGCCCGCGTTGAATTATGCTATTAAATATGAGGCAGGCTCATCTGGGAGTACTTATTTACGATATTATTAGAGGTGATAAATACGTATGGGATTTATTAATACGATCCAAAATGAAGCACCAGGCGACGGTTTGGCTGTTTCAAAATGTAACCACCGCCTACCAAAGTGTAGTGATCGAGAAGCGCTTTATTTCACTTTGATGAGGAATCTCCTTTAGGAAATCGGAGTTAGCATCAATGTGGAATGGTATATCACTAAATGCTTGCCAGAAGTGTTCACTACTGTGAGTCACAAGCAAACAAACAACGCTTCACTACCCGCGTCTTAAACGAGGGAGTTCTTGGACTGCACACCTATAAGCTTGGGGTTACCCTCCTCTTTGCCCTGATTTGGCACCGTATGACTTCTTTTTATTCCCTAAATTAACACATCAGTGTGAATGATTGTAGTTTACATCGTCGGAATATGCGTTAGCAGCGTTAGAGCAGAATGTAGAAAAGATATCTGAGATGAACTAGAAAAAGTGTTTCGAAAATTCGTTTAGACGCTTTGTACTTTGTACGTACTAAACTTTGTACAGATGTTGGTGGTAAATTTTTTGAAAAGATTTAATAATGAAAGCTCTAACCATATTACTTGTTTTTTTTTTAAACTTTCTATATAGCGCACGTATAATATATTTTTTCATATTTATATTTTCCCTTTAGAAATGCGTGCGCGTGTTCAGATAATCCTTATTTTTAGAACTTGGAATGACAACAATTAAGTAACGGCTAAATTTCAGATATTTTGTGATTTATACTGGCATCATTTAAAAAGGTACACACACCGTCTTATCTTTTGAGTTGAATTTCATTCTCAAAATGCTGCTCCCTTTAATCTAATTCATGGGTTATAGCAAGATATTTATCGCCTACTTATACCCGCCTAGCTCAGGCAAAAACGGTTTAAGTCAGATTTGCATTGACTAAAACCTGGACTATATACTTACCTCAACGTTTTGTTAAGAAGCATTCCCTTTTCTATCAACTCTGAATCCAAATTTCTTATATGTTCCAACATGTCCGTTACTTTTTCATTATACTTCTCTTTTATTTCATCTAACTCCGTTCTGAAAGTTCTTTCTGTTTCTTGCTTCACTTTGAATAGAGATTGTTGTAACTCAGATATTACTCCTGGAAATAAACTTAAGTGACTATTATGATGATTTATAACATGTTTGTCAGTGACTGAGCACATTTTGAGGAAAGTTGCATGTCCGGGGATAAAAAATATTAAATAACTATGTAGAAAACTCGATCATAAACATGAAAAAAAAGAAAGAATAAGCAGTATGGAGTGGGTGAGCGGTCTTGTCGCTAAAAAGACCGTGCGCCCACGACCCACTGTAAAATTTCTTCCAGACAATTTACGGATGGACATGATTGCAAGAGAGCAAAAATTTTGTGTATTTTAGCCATGCATATTATAAATTTCCTGTTTTCGCATCTTTCGCAAGCTGGTAATCTCTTTTTTTACGACACTAATGAATTGAAAGGGGAGATGAACTCTAACCGTGTAGTGGCTGTGTATGAATACCCACTACCCCATCCCGAGGGTGTCGTAAGAGGCGACAGGGGAAAATGAAACATATGGTCAGCAGCATCTTCGTGATAACAACTTAAAATATTATAAAACACCAGTTGTCAAACCGCTTGCCAAGCGTGGCAACTATGGCAAAATCCCCTCATAAGAAAATCTATGACGGATGCCTATATTCAGCACTGGAATTTTATAGGCTGTAATGGATGGACTCTCTAACCCCACAAACACACGGAAAATCACTACCAGTAAATCAAGCGCGTGATCAGACATCGGCATCGGCGTAAGTTGCTCTTTCTCTTATGACTGCGACAGAAGATATCAATTTGTCTATAGCATTCTCTGTCTACGACTCCGTGGTTGTAGGTCGTTATCCTAGAGTACATAATAATTTTACGTGGTAGAGCCAAGCCGCAGCTATATTATAGTTGTAGCATAAATCGGTCGGCTCGACCGGGGCAGGACCGCGCTCCCACAGAATACCAATGTAAAATAGCAGCGTAATGCTGCTGTGTTTCGTATGGTGAGTGTAGAGAACCGGAGACCCGTTTTACTGGAATTGAGGCATTCCAACTTAGTCCTCAGGATAAATGTGGATGTCTATGGGCCACAGCAGCCACTTACAAGTTGTTATAAGTTAATAGACATGAGTACACAAAATGAAGGAACGCGAGGAAGTGACATATTGTGTACATACCTGTTAGTTCTGCTATCTTCCGGTAAGCATCGTTTTTTTGAGCTGATACTACATCGAAAAGCTGTAGGGCTTCTGCAACCTAAAAATTTACATATATGTAATTATGCAAATTCAGCCAAGATTTGTATTGATATGAAGTTAGTCATAGACTTTGAAAATTAGTTTGATATTATCATGACATAAATATTTCATAAAAATTTAATATATTTGCACCTCCACCCCAAGCGACGACGCGATGGAGCCGCAACGGACGAATAAAGAACGAAGAGCCAACAAATTCAATACGAAATTAGATCCGGAATAAACTGCACGCATTCATTTCACATATATACTGAATGGCCTTTTTTACAGTCTGGAAAAAAAATAGGGTGTAACTGTGCACGGAGTAGGAGCATATGGCACTGATAATTTACAAAAAATAAAAACAAAAATTTTGAATGAAACGTTTGAAAAAAGTTTTTATGATCAATTACTTTGCCCTTTGCCCTTGAGCCTGTGATCCTGCGAAGTGACAAGGTCGAATATGCCTACTAAATTTATTGTTTTATTGCCGTTCGTAAAGTTGGGTGGATAGGATTTGAATTTCGATAAATTTTAATTAATTAATTAATTTAATTAAAAATTATTGATTTTATATTTCGTAAAATATTAGTGTCATTGGCTTCTACTCCGTTCACATGTTACACCCTATTTTTTCCAGACGGTAAAAAAGGTCACTAGTATATTATACCTATCTTCTGAAGGCTTCAGCGCCCTAGACTTGCTCCTCATCTTGACGCCCCTCTGGCGGCTATACATTATAAATTATAACTACTTATTTTGTCTCCCGCTGGTTACGGTTATCAGCCCAGAGAGCGGCCAACGCTCCGTGTGGTATCTATATCTGTATTCTGTGCTTTTAGCCTTTTTGGCTTTTACCTGTTGCTGATTCAGGGCTCGCGATCTGTAAGGCCGCGAGCTACATAAAAAGCAAAGGTGATGATGATAAGGATGACAATGATGATGACGGCTAATGATTTGATTGGTTACCAATCATCAGGACCCCTCTGTAGGTTTTTGAGCTATCTTACCGTACCGCTGTCCGAGTGGAGGGAGTGCGAGCGAGTAGGTTTCGGCGCTATCAAAGTACATGTGATGAGACGCAGGTTATACTCGGAGAGGAAATTCACAGTATCTGTCTCTCTGTGCAAAATGGATTTTTTTTTCTCTAGCTAGTTACATAAGGATGGACACGGCTAACTCCGTGAGATGGAACAGAGCCGGAGTACTTCAGAACTTTAATAGCATAAGTATTTTAATGGCTTCCGTGAGTTTCGCTTGTAGCGCAACGACAGCGATGCCACATATTTTATATATACATAGTTTATTTGCAAAGGACAAACTAATAAAGTAGGCGAGACACGTATACCCTTAACAGGTAGGCTTAATCAAAAATGTGATAAGAGTGAAGAAGGCAAGAGGAAATTTTATCCATCCCGGAATTGTTGGAACTTTGTTTAATATTTAATAAATACAACAAAACAAATCTATGAATAAAATTACTTATTTAAAATTGGTACCAAGATACCAACAAACAATTATTTATCCAATCACATTTGTTAAAAATGTATTCGTCTACATTTTTGTATCGCGAAATTGTCAATAACACCTCATTGTTTTAAGATATAGCAATAAGTTTGATTGTATGTTAAGTATCGCTAACGAATTTAATCTTATACCTGTCAGTCAGCGAATATAATTTTTTACGCTCTTTAGGCAAGGAAAACTTCGCTCACCTTCGATACGCACATTCTTCTTTTAAGAACTTTAGCGTGCGCCCCTTTGAACCTCGCGTACGCGTCTAGTTTGCCTTAAGAACAATCCGATTTTGATGAAAGTTTTTGTGTGTGTATAAATGGATATTTGGATGGATTAAACTCACAATGGAGAAGATAACCATTTTTTGTTTTATATGCCAAAAAATTCTACAAAAAATTATGAGAATAACTGTGTTTTTAAATTTTTTCTATCTTCAAAACTGACCGAGATATAAAGGCGCGAAGTTAACATTTTCGATCTAAGCCGCTGGCCGAGCGCGACATCGTTGATGACGTCACAAGTTCCATCTTCGTGCGAGCGACCCGACGCGCGCTTAGAAAATCAAAACATTAGAGATGAGTCGTACTAGGTAAATTTCGTACTAGGTGCACCTAGTCCAATTCCGTATAAATACTCGATCCAAATACCTGTTCCACCTAGTCCATAAAGTATCAAGTACGCATAAAGTTTAGTATTGTTGGAATAGGAATAGAATACGCTATAGTTTCAAGTACCATATTTTACGTGCGTACTGCTATAACGTGTGCAATAATGAATTCATACATCTTCCCTTCATACTTTACAAAATTATTATAATTATTCTCGTAACTAAATTACGAGAATTAAGTTTATATGAGAAATAAATTAAGATCATTTACTTCCAATTACTTCAAATGCTACTTAGTAGTACTTCATATTTTGTAAAATTTGTTTTAAAAGATGTTTATCTTTGATTTATTTGAAAAGCTCTAGAATGGGAGTACTCGCCTATTGATTTTGTATGCCTTGATTTTAAGCTGCTATGTTTTTTTTACTATTGCTATAATTCTATAATTGGTTGATGCAGCTCATACTAATGACGGAAGGGAGAATTTAAAGTGGATTATTTTCATTTATCTCTCATATAATCTTAATAGTAACGAGCCTAATTATAATATTTTTTTAGAATATTGTTTGCATAATTCTTATAAATAACATTAAAAAAAAGAATTGTTCTGAAAAATAAAAAGTGAGTTTGTCAGTTCCGGCGCACGACTGAAGTTCACTCCTTACGAACGATTAAATAATAGATTAGTAAATGTGGGTAAATGAACGCATTTTTATACTACTAAAAGCATGCATGACACATTTACTTATATTAATTATTTAATGTATATTCATCAAAATATATTACATAATCATCGAAACGTAAATTGTTTACGCTTCCAATGCTATGTTATGTAGTCATGGAAACATGAAAACAGCGTCCACCGAGATCACATTCGCATGAGTCCGTACCGTATTTGACAATAGACTCTCGCCTGCCTTGTACTCTTGTATAAGTATTTGGTTGAACTAGTCCGAGTCCCGACTAGTCTCGTACTAGTATTTGATTGAACTAGTCCGAGTCCCGACTAGTCTCGAGTCTCGAGTATTGACAGACAAAGATAGAAAGACTACGGAATAGTCTAGTTAAATAAGGACAGAATATATTATTACACAACAAACACGAGTGCGCGTCACGTTACCTTTATGTTCATTAAAATTTGGTTCAAATTCAAATGACTGACAAACTAATGATTTAGGCAAAGACGACCCGAGTTGCGCGCCTAGTAACTACAGTCTACGGCAACAAAATACGAGTATCGAGTACGACGCGTAGGCACAGTGAGACTAGATGGATCAAGTATTTTAAAAGTTGGAATAGGTGCAACCTAGTCTCGTTAAATACTTAGTCTCTGGATCTGTTCTAGTATATACCTACGCTTCATCTCTACAAACCATTTACTCGAATGTGCCCGTCGCATGCGGATCTATCTATCTATTTTTAACAAGAAACATTATAGTAGAACATGACACCATCTATTAAATATTGTGCTGTGCCTCAATGTAAAAATACGGCCACAAAAACACCTGAAAAGTTGTTTTTTAATGTGCCTAGAAACCCTACCATCAGAAAAAATGGACAAATGTTATGAGAAGAGCACATCCTTTAGGACCGAACACGGTAGCATTTTGTTGTGAGGATCATTTCGATGTAAGTATTCAAATAATAATAACCTTCACATGATAGGTCCTGGTTATTGCTAGTAAATGCTTTCTATTATGCATGTAGGTACCTACTCGAGTCGCAGTGTTTAAGTAACTAACGATTCATTGAACCTTTCCACGCTTAATGATCATTATAATTTCAAGAAGAAACAATACCTAATACCTACATATTTAACTAAAACTACTTCTGTGTAAATAAACATCCAAACTTGGGTAAAGTACCTATGTAATGTAGATAAGTCAATGACCTGTCGTGAGTTCGTAAGTTTAGATACCTACCTATGTTTGCAGTAAATTTTAAAATGTTTATAATGCATATAAAGGTTAAAATATGGAATATGTTAACAAAAGTTTTTATATTTTTTACGATATTTCGAGCAAAAACTAAACACACACGCAGAGCTGTTCAACTTTCATACTTTGCGGGCCGCAAATAATGGAATAAGTTTGATTATGAAGTGGAGCACTTAAATTTTTTTTATTACATAGTTGGTACATATTTTAAATATTGATGGAATACAAATTACGAGGTTCCTTATTTTTTTTATAGACTTTAAATAAGTTTGTATTTTGTTCTAGGTCGAAAACGATATGGAAAACTACGTGAAGTACAAACTAGTTGGTGGTCGCCTCAAACTTAAAAAAGATGTTTATGTAATTCACAATTTTAAAAGCAAAATTATCACGTTTATTCAACGAAATCAACGGAACTTCAATGACAATGACAAGATTCTTTTTATTTTTTCTATAGACGTTACTAGTAGTAACGTATATCATACAGCCAAGTTCCTAATGAACATAGTCACGGTCTTATTCCACAGAGAAAGATAAAGAAATAAACGAATTTAGCCGCGAAATGCGACCGTGTTTTAATGGCGTGTTTAAATAAATTTAATTTTAATTATTTACTGGCTGAAATCAGCCACCTCACAGACGAGACCGAGAGGCTGAACCTATTCTTATCATTAGCAAATGAAACCCAGAAGTATTAATGTAATAATGGGTACCTAGGTTATAAAAATATCTTATTCTTATACCTACCTTTTCATTTTGACTCCGCGTATTTCAGCCGTGACAAAATCTTTGTTTCTTAGAAAATATTCCGCCATCATGTCAAGGACTATTGGAAGGTTGTCAGATTGACCCTTTTGAAATCCGTCTTCCATCATTAAATACTTAAAAATACCAGAGCGAACGAGGGGAAACAACTCACCCGCGAAATATTACTACAAACGTATGATCGGCGCGCTGGAACGGTATGGCGGTGCGGCCGCATGGAAAGAATGACGTCACGCGCTACTCGCGGGCACGGGCGAGATTTTAGAAATGTACGTAAACTTTCCACGCTTATAACTTCGGTAATAGTGCACCGATCGATGTGAAATAAAAACTAGAATTATGTGTTTGGTCTAGACTTTTTACCTACGTACTTAAAAGTCTAATATTGTAACCTTGTTATCTTCTCCATTGGACCCAGTATGAGCGAAGCCGATACGGATCGTTAGTTACCTAGATATTTGAAAATTATAGCACTTAGAATGATAACTAATTGTCCTTAGATATATTTGTTTTCAGTTTTGATTTGATTTACCATTACTATTACTAATTAATACAGCCTATCACAGGACTTATGCCACCTGCATGCATCCACTGCCTGCGTGTATCATCAGGTCGTTTACTGGTATGTGATAAATATACTATATTATGTATAAAAAAGCCCATGCTCACTCAACGAACTTTGGAGAAGGCTATGCTCGGAATTTCTTTGCGGGACATAATACAGTACATATACCTATAACATGTAACATAATTAATGCACTTTGAGAAAGTAGTTTGTTCAGAATCATTTACTGAATCGATTTCTATCATTTTTAATATAGGTAATCTTTTATCCAAAATATAATTAAAACTACGTAAATTACAGTTACACTAAATATGTACAGTAAAAACAAACTGAAATGGACCGTATCTTAAGGCAATAAGACTTTTAAGAGTGCAGTTTTATTTGTATTATTACTAATTCTGTCATTCAATAAAAATAAAGAAAAATGAACTTTATTTCAAGCATGTTAAAGTCTTTGCGTTTGTGGATTTGTACTGTGACCACAACATTCTTCCGGAATTAGTATAACTAATTTGATAAATAATCAGTGCATAAAATGTTTAACTAAAAATTCAGTGTATGTATTATGATTATAACATAATATACTAATTGGGGTGTCTGAGGGTGTGCGTTAATTACGTTACATATTGTATATACAGTGGATCAGTAAGCTGAAGTGGCAATGAGGCGGCCATATAATTTAAGGCAGATTCGAATGCGACGTAAATACAATTTTAATCTTATTCGGGAATAGACAGGACAGAATTGTAAAATTGGTTTGTGTCCTTGACAGTAAAACCCAAAAAATGATGTCGAATGGTGAGGAACGTTCACTTCCCAATCACAATAATAATAATGTCCTTCGGACCAAGTTTCGGTTATGGCTTATGTCTGCCAGTCTTAAAGGACACTAGCCATCTGCGTAGGACAGAATTATAGTGCCCCACTGTATGCGTAAAAACAAATGCATTCTCTATTCCTTCAACATCATAGTCCTAGTCTGATGAGACGGATACCCTACACGACTGGAGAGAGATCAGGCGCAGGACCCACGGCTTTACGTGCTTTCCGAGGCACTGGAGTGAAACACCGCCAACTTCTTGACCACGAGTTATTACTGAGTATTTTTTGACAGAAATACCCAACAACAGATTTTGGCCCGACCCGGGATTCGTACCCTCAGCAACGGCGCTTACGACTACTAGACTGACGAGGGAGTCAAGGTCACGTTCCAATATAAAAATGATTAAAAGGCTATAAAACAATTTGTTTTGTTTGAAACATCATTTAACGCTTTTCCTTGTTCATGATCCTGATGGGGGTGTGTTTAGAATTTTTAATGCTTGATTTTTAATGTTGCCCTGGTTATAACCTTCGTTACCACAAGTCCACTAAACCTTGCCACCAAATAGTCCTGATCCAAAGCATATCTCATCAGATCGTCGTCTTATACTGCGCTTTAGACACGAGACTGAAAATTGAGAACCTTCTTTTCCTTTTGGTTATTTATTTTTGAGCCATATTGCTAGCCTGTTGATACTCCAGATTACTATTATTATATCATGATCATGATGATTATCAAAATATTACAGCCCATCAGAAACCCACAGCTGAACATAGGCCTCACCCAAGAAATGCCACAAAAAAGGTCCTGAACCATCTGCTTCCTTAATGTCTTATCAGGTCATCACTCCATCTAGTGGGTCGCCCTACACTTCGCTTGTCGGTAAGAGACCGGTCGGATCTTGGGGCTATATGGCCGGCCATTCCCCACTTCAACTTACTGATCCTTTGGGCTATGTCAGTTACTCTGTTTTTATTGCGGATATCTTCATTACGAATTATATCACGCAGAGGAACTCCGGGCATAGTCTTCTCCATAGCTCGATGAGTGAGCATGGACTTCCTTATACATATTTTTATGGAATAAGGGAATAATTTTTATATAATGGTAAATGGTATATACCTTTAGACACCTACATGTAAGTACGCTCGATTACGAATCAAAATGCAGATGCGTTGTCACCCGTGAGGACTACGATGGAATGTCTCATTTCCAGTAAAAAGGGTCACATAGCAGTATTAAGCTGCTATTTTACGCTCTTATTATGTGAGAGCCATACTATAACTGCAGCATAGCTCTATCACGTAAAAAATGTGTATCTTGTTTTCAAGTTATATAATATATATTACTAAGTATTTACTATTCAGCTTATATAGTTATAGGTAAGATCCTTGTTTTACTCCTCTTCAGTATATAATATTTTATATCGCAAAGAAACACTTAGAACAATCGTAGAAACTAATCAAACTACCGTGCTAGTACCAACCTTTGATTTGGCCTCTACTCCATTCTTCACTTTATCTACACTTTCCTTCTGACACGCTATCAACTGTTGCCTTATATCTTCGTTGTTTTTCGTTTCTGCTGCCAGATTTATCTTATATTCTTCCAAATTTTTTTCTAGTGTGACTATTTTCGTTTCTAACTCCTTGCCTCTTTCTTTATAAGTTTGTATTTCTTTTTCCTTAATTTTTAGTTCAGTTTGTAGAACTTCATAGTCTTTTACTAGTTTTTTATACTTTGTTTCTAATTCGACGTAATCAGTAAGCGATGTTTCTAGTTTTAGTTCCAAATTTCTTCTTTCATCCGTGATATTCTGATTGAAATAAATAGTTTTTCGCTAAATGGGATACACACGTCTACAGACTGATGTTGAGGAGCAGTATCACAAGTGTGAGTGTCTGTATTTTCTTATAAATTAAAGTAACAAACTATCTTACAGTCAACCCTCTTTATACCTATCAGACCGGAATACAGCAATGCATACACTGCAGTTTGGCGGGAGAAGTGGTAAGAGGATAATACCAACTCCGACGAACTCGTGGGCAGATAAAAAGTCCTAACAACTAGTAAATCTATCCAGTGTGTTAAATATGGGCGAATCTTTCGAACCTTTTTTTTATAGGATAGGATGACAAAAGAGCACACAGTCCACCTGATAGTAAGTGGTTACTGTGGCCCATAGACATCTACATCTATTCTCGATTAGCAATCAAATCGCAGATGCGTCGTCATCCGTGAGGACTAAGATGGAATCCCTCGTTTCCAGTAAAAAGGCTATCCGGTTCTCTACACTCACGATACGAAACACAGTAGAATTAAGCGACTATTTGATGCTGGTATTCTTTGGGAGCGTGGTCCTTCCCCGGTCAAGCCGACCCATTCGTGCTACAACTATACTACTAATATAACTGCAGCATGGCTCTACCACGTAAAAAACGCCACGCCACGCCTTGAAATCGTGCAAAGAAATATCCAGCAAGGAATTGTTGGAAGCTTATTAAGAAATGAGAAACAAGAAAAACAATCATCGCCTCATTCCCAATGTGATTAATTTTGAAAGATTTCAGTAAAAAATATTCATATAAAATAGGTACTAACCTTTTAATTAATTTATTTGAAAAAGGTTAGTATTTTCTACGCAAACCAAACTGTTTGCTTCGTCATTCATATTCGTAATATTTGGAGTGCAATAACTTTTCAGAATGTGTCTTTTCATTCGATTACAATGCTGGTATCTGAATGCAAGAGTTAAAAAGCTTTTGTTAAGCTAAGTCAGCACGCTTTGCCGTCTCTGGCTACATCACCACTTACCATCAGGTGGCATTGTGGTCAAATGTTGACTGATAATAGTAAAACAAATTTCCTTTTTTGTTAACTTTATTGTATTAAAGTTCAGCACTTACATCTTTGTTCCTTCTATTGTCGTAAACTTGATAAGTTTTTAATTCTTTGTCGAGGGCTTCAATTGTTTTTTGAGAAGTTTGCCATAAAACGTGGAGGGAATCTCTTTCCTGTAAGAGGTATAATTAATTGTGAATCAAATTAAAAAGCTTTCAGAAGTAATAAATAAGCAGAAATATGTTGCATTCGTAAGAAGATTGATCGTGTTAACCATTGTCCAACCATTGTCGTCTCTTATTTTTTAGTTTTAAACAATTGTAAATGTCGATTTTTCGACACTACTTCGTTAGGAAATTTTATAAAACAAGAGATGATGACGATCATGGTGACAAATGAGCACACAGTCCACCTGATGATAAGAGGAGCTGTGGCCCATAGACATATACAACTATCCTCGATTATGATACAAAATGCAGATGCGTTGGTAGCCCTGTGACTAAGATTTAATACCTCGTTTCTAGTTAAAAGGGTCCCTGGTTCTAGGGACTGACCATACGAAACACAGCAGCGTTTAAGCTAAAATTCAACGAGAGCGTGGCTCTACCACGTATAAAATGATTACCATAATATGTGAATAGATGGGTTGGTCGATCGGCCGGGGTAAAACGTAACATAATGTTGGTGTGGTATTCGAGTAGTCCTCAGGAGTGACAACTGACAACGCATTTACATTTTGTTTTATACAAAAGAAACTGCTTTTCACATGTTTATGACAAATTTTCTATTCGAAGCGTCATAATTACAAAAGCATTATTGGTGATATAAGGATAGTGAGTGCCCGTTTGCGCGTATGTACTATGTATGTTTATGGTATTAATCATAATATAATATAACGTATTTTTTATTTGATTATGAGTAGAAAATCATCGCAAATTCCTGATGGTATTTGCCGAGAACTACTAGACTATCGATATCCATCCTTGATGACAAATAAAAATATTATATGGGGTGTCCCAGTAGTTGAAACAGAATACACCATTCTCTTTACTCGCATAAAATCATATAACACAGTAGTATTACGTCGCTATTTTATAACATAACTAAAAGTTCCATTCTAATCTTTTTAGGGACACAAAGGCAATTACAATTTGTCTACCCGCATTTTGTCATCAGCATATTCAAGGACAAACACATCTAAACCAAGGTTTAAAGCGACAATTTTTAATGTCGAGTAAGAATGATTTTATTATAATATTTTGGCGAAAAACCAAGTTAATAATACCAAAAATTTTATTCAATTTTAATGACAAGCAATTTAACCAATATGTCTGTTTTGAAGAATGTGCTCTACCCTATATCATCACTAGGGTGTCATAAGAGGTGACAGGTGAAAACACATCTGGAGATGAACAGCAGCGTCTTCCTCACAACGACTAAAACAAAATAAAACTGTGGTTGGCAACCTTCTTACCAAGCATGGCAACTATGGCAGGTATACCAGGGGGTATATCTGCTAGTTGCTGCTCCTCTAGGATGAGGAAATCTATAGAGAAGGCCTATGTTCAGCAGTGGACTTTAATAGGCTGTAATGGTAACGGTAAAACGATAATTCAAGAGTTTCCTGTAACCATTTATTTATTAATTAATTTATTTATTTATATAGTCACCTAGTTAAAATTAAACCAGACAATGGACGTACTTAATGCCTTGTTGCGAAAATTTCATAAGTTAATCCGTTGTATTTTCTGCCATTCAAACCTAGGAGAGAAAGAAAGTAGAAAGGAAGGAAACTTGAATAGCACCTACAAAATTATACAGACATGAAATACTACAAAACAAAACAAGAAAAATACATGAAATTATAGAAAGATGTGAACAATTAACATTAACCAAATAAATAATTACTGATGGTAAGTGGCTACCGCATCCCATACGCAACTGCAACCAACTGGCAACAAAAAATACTACAAAAATGCGTTGTCTTATCTGAGGACTAAGATGGAATGCCTCACAACCTGTATACCTTTTAGACAAGAACGGAGTAGGTTAGCGGTTAAAATGGTGAAGAGAGTGGTAACTATCCAGATTCCAGATGGACTCATAGGCGGAAATGGAGTCTTAAGGGGAAATATAACCTCAAATGGCTTAGCAAGATCCTCCGTTATGCCGAAAGTATTGCAGCTTTAATTTTGAAATAAATATATGGTAAAGTTGAGGATTAATGTTAAGGTTTATGTTAGACGAAAACACGATTCCGTAAAATTTTCTCGATAGAAAAAAAATCCAAAGTTACCTCCAAACTGAACAATAAACCGCTGTTATTCATAAAATACTTTAAATAAGATCATGAAACTTTGCATACTAACTGTACTAACCATAAAGCAGTGCTTATGTTATTTACTTTTTTTAAAATATCATTATTTTCACTGTAAAAAGAAATTACCTAAACTATCGGCGCGTAAGCTTGGTTCCTGTCGCTCCGTTAGTATTGCTCCGGCTTTTGAAGGGAGAAGTTGTGTCGCTTACGATCAGAAAACACATTACGCAACAGGAAGACGTAAAATTAAAATGGGAAATAACCGTTATAAAAATAAGAAGCGACTGGGTTGGCGTTAAGAAACAGGCATATATATGATAAACATAATGAAATAAGTATCTAACGACCTATCTACTTAGAGTATTAGTGATTACAAACATGTCGGTACATAGCATACGACGCGCGGGGAAGTGGGGGCGAAATTAGAATTTGAGCTGACTTACTCTCACCTCTTAACAGAGAGAAATATTTTAAAATCAGTTCTCTTTAGCGACATGGGAAGTAGCGAGGAAAGGAGACAGAGAGTGGCCACAATGCTCATCATGCCGCACGTTATGCTCCTCGTCATGCCCATCGCTCCTTTTTTTTTTGTCCGATTTTTGGGCGCGAGTCAAAAGACTGGCAATATGAGCGCAAGTGGCTGTCCAGTGGCCACACAATCCCGCTAATCGCAGTCCCAGTCAGATATCTATACTATATAGGGCATAGATGAGCCATTCTAACATATTACTTGGTGAAGAGACGAGGAAGGTTTCTTCTTCGCTCTAATAGATGGCGTTGGAATTATAAATTACCGAAAAATACACTAGATGGCGCTATCAATTTCGTTCGGTATTATTTCATATATTTAATAATATTTCATTCATAAATAATAGGAAATATTCATAGTTGGTATAAATATTATTGTGTATGTATTTTATTAATTTGTCATTTTTTTAAGATTTGGCGGCAAATTGAAAATTGTCTGTGTTACTTCAATATGAATTTAACGCGATAAAATTTTCGTACAATGATTTTTTATGACTTTAGATGTCATTTAAGTCAACAAGAAAGTTATGATAGACTTCCGATAGCCTTTCACGATGAAGTCCCATCTCCTGCCACTGTTTACAACTGGTTTAATAAGTTTAAGCTTGGTCGCACTTATCTCACCGATGACCTGCGTGAGGGACGGCCTTCTACGGCGACGACTGAAGATAACATCAGGATTAGGACAAAAGAGTAACACACAGCAGGAGGAGGACAAAAGAGTAACTTATCAGCAGATTCGGAGATGCTAAGGCATCGGTATGAGTCAAGTGCACAAAATCTTCCATGAACCTTTTTCAGTCATGAAGCTTTGTGCCCGGCTCATAATTTGACAGAGGCCCAAAAACTCCGTCGTGTTGATTGGTGGCGTGAAATGCTTCAATAATTTAACGGAGGTGACTCAAATGCTGTGTTCGACATACTTACGGGTAACTAAAGCTGGATTTATTGTTATGATTCTGAAACTAAGAGACAGTCTGCTGTCCGAGTGTTTTCTTCGGAGGAGTTGCCAACTAAAGTAAAGAGAGGTCAAAGCATAGAAAAAAATATGGTGGCCTCGTTCTTTGGAAGGGCAGGTCATTACGCAACAATTGTTTTAGAGAAACGAAAAACAGTTACTGCAGAGTGGTACACTAATAATTGTTTGCCACTCGTTTAGGAAAAATTTCGAGAGAAACGACCTCGCAGTAGGATCCTCCTTCACCACGACAACGCCTCGTCGCACAACGCCAAGCAAACAATGCTCACTCGCATTATAGCCCCGATCTCGTACCTGCGATTGTTAATTATTTCCGAAAGTAAAAGAAAATCTTCGAGGAAAACGTTTATTGACGCCGATGAAACAGTGGCTGCGTTTTAAAATGTCGTCCTCACCCTAGGGACGAGTGGGCAAAGTGCTTTTATCATTGGTTCAATCGAACACTATTTTGAAAAGGTATAATGAAACTAATAATTTGCTAGTTTGTTTATTTTTTTATTTTCTAAGAACTTTCAGTGTCACCCTCGTAATTACATTTATCACCGATTAAGAATCAAATTCAGATGCGTTGTTACCCCTGAGAAGTGAGGACTACAATGGAATGCCTCGTTTCAAGTTAAAAGTGTCTCCGGATCTCTACACTTAACATACGAAACGCAGCGCTGCTAGTTTTGGTATTCTGTGTGAGTGTGCTCCTTCCCCATGTCGAGCCGATCCATCCGCGCTACAACCATAATATAGCTGCAGCGTGGCTCTACCACGTTTAAAATAGTAGTGTAACTATTTCATTAAAAGCTTTTCGGACTTTTAAAACATATAATGTTACGTTTTAAAAGTCCAAGCCACTCCAATCGGCACTTAAAATAACGAATCACATTTTCAGTGGCGTTAGAGAGGTTCCAACGACCGTTTGATTGTAGAAAAGCCGTCCAAAAAAGCTGATCTCAAATTTAACAGACATTTTGATAGGTGCTCCTCAAAACGCGTGGTGACTTCTTGTAAAACTTCGAGGTTGTAGTTTCTTGTAAAAGCAGTGGCCATAGAAAGATTTGATTTTAAGTAAAATGAATAAAAATATTTACCTTAGCGAGTAAGACAACCTTCTTTCTCAAATCTTCAAGTTCTTTATCATGATTGTTATCTTGCTGTGCAGTTTGAAGTTTTTCTTTTAAGAGGTTTCCAACTTGCTGAGAAAGTTTTTGATTATCTGCAATTAGCGTTTTGATTTCTTGTTCCACAATGACTTGATTTTGCTAAAAAATATTCAGTAAAGTCGAAACTATTTATGATATATTTTGAAGCCACTTTTATAAAAATTACCCGGTAGAATTCAATTTCAGTTTGCAGATCTTCAAAGGTGTTATTTTCCATTTTTATATCTTTAAAGATATATGTGAAAATGGGGTTTGTAAAAAAATGTGTATAATGCACACATATTTAGTAAATTAAAAGTTTGCAACGTTAATACATAATTTAATAGGTTAGTAGCCAACGAAACCAAGTTATCATTTTGTTTACATTTCCCGCGAAGAAATGTCATTTTTGGTTGCCAAGCAACGGCATTTTTAACATCTGCGTTGCAGTCATAATATAATATATGTACCAGTATGTACCTAATTAGTTAGGTACATAGGTATTTAATTACTCTGAGATTGTAGTCAATGCGATTTAAAAATACTTTTCAATGTAACTTCGGTTAGAGCGTACTCAAAACTTTGGTCAGGAATAAATATTGTCGTATTATTTTAAAACTCTGTCTCTCGTCTCGTCTGCGAAGCGTGGCAAGTCTGTAAAATATTAGATTGCTTCATACTGAAATAATTTATGAGGAGGCCAATAAGCCGTTGACTTTGAAAGGCTGTATTGAATGAATGAATAAAAAGAAATAAATTTTTTCAGGCCTAGTTTCGGAACGATGCAGCTTTATTCTTTTTGCTCCAAATGTCAATGTCAAACAAATGTGCCAAATGCCAATTTTCGCAAAATTTGTAAATAAAGTAAAAATTACTATTTAGAAATCGGAAACACTTATTTATCATTATAACAATGGTCCTTGGTAAATAATTGTGTTTAAATATGACTAGGTTCGTAAACTTTTAAATTTAAACAAACTTATCAGCCAGAAAAACACGTACACATGCCGCAGTATTTGTATCAACCAGCGTTTTGCTTTTTGCAGTCTTTATTTTGATATTAGAGAGGATCAGTGGCCACTTGTGTATGATGACAAATATAATGTGTCGGTTATGGGCCTTGAGAAGTTCCATGTATTCGATGCGAAAAAGTGGCGCAACATAATACAGGTTTGCTTTACAAGTGTTTATAATTTTATATTAACGCTATATCTCCCTCAATAAACGTAGGTTAGATAAGGGAACCAACAATCATTTTTTTTAAACTACTAAACTGTCTTGTTCACTCTATTATCTACTCTCTCTTGACATCCGTCCTCTTAAAAATTATAACTCACTACAAAAGACACCTACAAAATACTTTTAATAAATAATAAAAACAAACTTCAAAAACTTTAAAAAATATAATTTTCACTTACTTTAATTTTTAAATTCATATGTTGTATGTAATGGAAATAATTTTATTATTTCTGTTTTTATTGTTATTTCTTATTTTTATGAAAAGTTTATTTTTTTACTACTCGAAATATGGTAGACGCATGCTGCAGATATATTATGGTTGTAGCATGGATAGGGCGGCTCGACCGGGGTGGGACCACGCTATCACAGCATACTAGTGTAAAATAGTAGCTTAGTTTGCAGCTGTTTTGTATGGTGACTGTAGAGAATTAGAGATTATTTTTTTACTGGAAACGAGGCATTCCATCTCAGTCCTGGGGGGTGGTTCCTAATTGAGTATTAGTGTTGATGTTTATGGGCCACAGCATCCACTTACCATCAGGTGGGCTATGTACTTGTTTGTTATCTTTATTCTGTATAAAATAACTTAAATTCAGTCAAATCATTATAAGTACTACAGAATATTTTTAACATTTGGGTCCTAAGGGTCCTAGGGGTCCTGAAGTATCCTCATAAATATTTGCCATATATTTTTTTATTTTTGGATTTTTTTAAAATTAGATTTTAGATTATAAGAAAAGGCACATTATTGTTTATAAAAAAGTATTTATTATTCTTAAAAAAGTCAGTCTCTTGACAATGAGAAACAAAAATTAACCACCGTACTTAGAATTATTTCAAGGCACTTAACAAATACGCTAAAAGTTTACAAAATAATCTTTTGAGAAACTTATTGTTATTTTTCTATAATATAGGAACTAAAAACATGTAATTAGAAAAAAAAATTAAAAATAAACATATAAACAAAAAAATGACAACCTCAATATTGCTATGGAGCAGTAACGTTAAAAATTAATCATTGCGTTGGCATGGTAAACAGTAAGAAATTGCTATTGAATGAGGCTTGCAAATAGTTTTTTTGCAAGATTTGCAAACAATAGTACTCTTTTTGTCTTTTGCCCTTGGGCAAATAAAGCATCTACGCTTCATTTTTGGGGCACTAGGGCCAGCTTCATCGGAATCAGCCAAAGGCTGCTCTTTGTCAATCAACTTGCAGATTATTGCTTTTATATCTTTGGTCAAGGTAGGATTATTTTCCCATCTTTGGGAAATATGTGGCTTTGTAAGAGTCATTGCAATAGACTTTATATAGTTACGACGCCTCAATTTTTTATTTGGATTAGATAGAACCCAGAGAACATAACCATCTGCAATTGAAATGTTTATTATAGCACCAAATATTGCGTTAGGCCATCTTTGTGTTCGACATGCACATGAATAATTTGAACACTTCAGATCCACCACACCTCCTTTGGTGCTGTTACATACATTTCTATTATTTCCGGCTTTTTAGACTGCTCATTTACTGACATGTCATGGTGCATAGAAGAAAGTAGAACTACGCTCTTGTTTTTTTTGGTATGTGTGATACCAATGTTTTGTCATTTACAAATCTGAATAATGATGATTCCACGGGCCTTGTCTTGTTAGAGTTAGTCACTGTATATAGTTTCCTGATCGCTTATGTTAATCTCATCTTCTGAAATTTCTTGTTTTTCTTCGCTTTCAGAGTCACTGCAATGGTCTAGGATTTGTGCTATGGCATTTTCTGAGAGTTGACGACTCATTTTTTTTGTTTTAGAACTCTAACTCTGAAAAAGAAGCAAGAATAAAAATAACCACATTGAAAATTTATAGTACGTAAAAGCACGGGTGGGGTCTACAGGGATCCCCAAGTAAGTAAAATACGTATTTACCTCAGCGAAAGCACGACGTACGTCCACCCGTCGAGAGACTCTGCGGCGCACTGAGATTAGCCGAAAGCGCGCGACCGTTACTTGTCAATGTCAAAAATTACCATTAAAAAACAGCGCGTGGGGTCTGGCCAGACCCCGCCCGTGCGATTGAAGGTTAAAACTGACAAAAGCTAAAGTAAAGAAAGAATTGATGTTGATGTAATTATTATTTTTCTTACAAATTGTTGCTTTCAGCATTTGCAAGATGCCAACCTTATCACTAAAGAGTGTCTGGTTCAACCTTTGGAAGCTAAGAAACAAGATCTCCTTGTAGTTCACACAAAGAAGTATCTGAGGTCACTTAAGGTAAATTTGCTTTTAGTTTTTACGAGCAATAATTTTATGGTTTAAACAAAAGTAATTATTTACTACCAACGACTATTACTACTACTTTTATTTAAACCAACAATATCCTTTTTTAGAAATCTCGCATGAGATTTAGGGGGGGCGTGAGGGGGTCGATCCATATCTCATGACATCTCACCAGGGGGAGGGGGGAGGGTAGAAAAATTGCCTCATGTAATTAAAGAATGGCCTTTATTGGTAAGCAACGTGTAGTGTGGCCCTCCACTAGATGGTGTAAAGACCTCAATAGGACAATATTTTGTTGCATTTCTTAACATAGGCATCCATGCTTGGCCATGGATTTGTGAAAGGCCGTAATACTGATGATGATGAGCATGTACAGGAATTTATTATAATATGCTTAATAGTTTAAATAGTTATTTTTTGAAACTCATTTAGTTCCTATTTATTTTTTGGAGTTTTATTTGGTGTGAAATGTAATGTAAATTTTGATTGTAATTGCAGTGGAGCACAAAGGTAGCCATTATAGCAGAGGTGCCAGTAGTGGCATGTTTGCCAAACATACTTGTACAATATGCATATCTGAAGCCAATGAGGTAAGCTTGTATATTTATTTAGTATCTTTAGAAGACACCTGAAAACTGAATGTCTCAAGTTTAGTTTAGTTTACGAGGGGCTGTTTTCCACAACTCCACATCTAAGCGCATATTTTGCGTGGGCAGGAATAATGTGATCATTTGAGCCATGAAATCTCCCCGAAGAAGTTCAACAGTCCTTTGATGTTGCCTCACTCAGTGAGCTGCCGCTGAGCACAGTCTCCACTCGGCTTAGGCTCGGTTGTGCAGGCCTTTTTTCACTGGACTTGGCATCTAGTGATTCCGTTGTACCGGTAACCATGGCTCCGGGTTCTTTTCCGTGACTTCCGGGTTCTTTTCTGCCTCTTTGCTTGGTGGCGAATGAAAGAATTGCCTCCACAACCCTGAAATTTATTGCATACCGCCCCACATACACATTCGAGATGGTGCCCGGCTTTGATCAGAGTCGGGGTATGATCCTCCGGCACCGAAACAACGAGGAACCATCTATCTGTCTGTTTGTCCGCTTTGAGTAGCAGCCAGTCCCTGACGTTTACCCAGCAGTTCTGGTACGCAAGCACAACATCGACAATGTCGCGTTGAACGCTTCCAGGCACAGTTGGGCATTATGGGACGTGAGTATATCCCATTTGATTCTCTATAGTATCTCTGAATGTTTCTTTATTGTCAGCAAGGTGTTAGATTTGAGGTTGAGGGTAGTAATATACCCCTTCAACCGTGTAAACGGGTTTGCCTATAAAAACTGGGCCTGACACATTAGGGTCCTGGCTACTCCAGACCTCGCTGATCATCTTCCTCTGTATAGCCACGAGGATGTCATCAGCTACCTCCTTCGTTAAGTCACCTGAACGTGCACACGTTAAGGTCACATTCAAATCTGCTTTAGCTGCAGAAACATAGCTCTTTCTTTCAGCCTTTGGTTGCTGTTCGAGTCGCACTTTTTTGTGCTCGCGTCTCGGTGAGGTGGACTCTTCCAGCATCCTTTTGTCTGCTCTTTCCTTCTTTCCAGGACACTTGGCTGCTCTCTGCTTCCTGGTTGTCATAGATGCAGATGTCATAGAGCTGGTTCTGGCGGCCGCAACTACTACTTGGGCTGGATTTTCATCCTTCCCAGTTGCAGCGCGACTACTGGTTCCAGCCGC